AGAACCTATTTCACAGAGGTGGGAAGGCGAATTAGCCATTAACCTGGGAGGAGACAGCTTCCACGTTCCACTGTGCATCCCTTTCTGGGTTTTCGTAGGAAGAGCACTGATAGGCTGAAGATTTGGCATAGTTTTTAACTCTGAAAAATTTGTTTCAGTGCTTGCAGGGCTCAGGTTGCCGTTAGTCCCCACTAATTGTGTCGAAAGGGGATGAATAGCTGCTGGTGACGATGCCACAAGTGACTGCAGGTTGGAAGGCACTGTTGGGTTTTCTGGCTGGCTCGAAACAGGCCTTGAGTGCTTGATGGCTGTCTTAGGTTCTTCTGGCTGAGGCTGCAGCTCTGCTCTTGGCTTTCTGCCCCGTTTTTTACCAATGTAGACAGTCCCCCTCTTGCTGACATTGATCTGCTTCCCTAGCCTGGCATCAATGGTGGCTGGCCCAGCACTAGATGGTGGCTGGACTTTTGCTTTCAGAGCTATGCTGCTGGAGCAGGAGGACAAGATCTGATTGAGAATATTCTTCCTCTTGAGGGTCTTCATTTTATTAATGGTCTTGATGGTCTTCTTATCCAAGACGCCAAGCTTCCCAACCTTTTTGTGAAACTTGAGTTCACTGATGGACTTGTCTTCTCCTGGGATCATCTGGGCCAACTTGGCCAGATTCCGCCTCCTCTTCCTTTTCTTCGTTCCTGGAAATTCACGATTGATTGGACTCACTGGGCTGGTGGAGGTTCCCTCATGAATGGTTTCAACAGTGAGCAAAGGCTGTTTCTTTGGTCGTCCTCGTTTTTTCTTCACAGGTGTGATCACAGTAAGACTGTCTGTATTAGTATACAGCGGGCTGGATGGTGTGATGGGATAGGCTGAAGGAGGCTCCACCATCAGCTTCTCAGATGTTGTCATGGAGGTCTCCCGAAGGATAGATTTAGGCTTGCTGCAGGTCCACCGCCGCTTAGCTGCATGTTTAGGGTGCTGGACCTCAGATAATTTGCCAGCGGTGGGGAGATCAGTGGGTAGGAGAGCGGATGTCACAGCGACAGATTTTCTGAGTCTGGTGGCACTGTTGGGAGAAGCTTTGTCAATGAGCACACCGCCGTCGATAGCTACCAAGGGGGACTCATTTTCAATCACTTTCCCTGGTTTTGTGGCTCGAAGGTCTTTTTTACTCCCCTCTGGTTGAGAGCTCGTCCTGTTTGCTACTTCACTGCTCATAGCAAGTCCAGGAGGCAGGCTTTTCTCCTGGATAATTTTCTCTATGGAAGATTTTGTGGATTGCCTTTTTTTCCTTTTGTGGCTGGATGTATCTGTTGTCGGAGACTTTATTGGAATAGTAATTCGTACATGACTGGTGTCACTCTCACAAGTACCAGCAGAAGTGGCACTCTGCTTCAAGGGTGACGTATCCAACACGCTGTCCATCGAGTAAGACTCCTTTTTCCCTTCCATGCTGTCATGGGATTTGCTGTCAAATGCTTTTTGAGCACTCTTCACCCATTCCATATCTGGGGTTTGGATCGTTTGGCTTATCAAGTCCTTTTTGCTGGATTTCTTCTTCGTGCTCCCGGCAGGCTGATCTGAGGCCTCCAGCTGCACAGCGCCTTCTGGATCACCGAGAGGCAAAAGACCATTGCACTCAGAGATGCTGCTGGGCTGGCTGGCCACACTGATGTTGTTGGGTGAGGGGACTGCACTGCAAATGACAAGGTCCTTACTACCAGTTGGCAGCTGCCCCCATGTGCTGCCAGCGCAGGACTTCTTCGCTTGGGATTTGCTGAAGGAAACCCCTGGCTCCAGAGCCGGGACCTTGGTGGCACTGACTGCTTCTCGGCTAGGTTCCGTGTTGATGAAGCAACTCTGAGAAGCGGATCCAGTATCAGAACTCGTTGACCAGTCAAGATGGTGCTGGTTGCTACTTTTCTGCTGGTGCTTTGATTTTAAGGTGTCACTGGTGAAGTCTTGTTGGAGGCCTGGATCATAGTGCAGAGAAGAATGTTTTTGTGGCCGGTCATAAACCTGGAAGACAGAAAAAATGAAGACAAAAAAATCAGTTTATCAGTCCATTCACAACTCCTGGTTGCTGTTCTTTATTTGTAGGGTGAATGACAACTCTTCTTAACCAATGTCCTTGTCAGTGTTAGGAGCAGCTATAAAGTCTTCTTATACTTGAGCAAAATTTGCATTTAGATTCATGGTCTGTAAACAAGTTTTGTTTTGTTTTCCCACTCTAAAAACAATGGAAATATTTCTATAAATGCTAAATTGCTAAAGAAACATATTCTATTGATTTTTAATTTAAAACACAAGTGAAATATTCACTTTCAATGGATGACTTAGCCTCCTCGTGAGAACCCCTTTTTCCTAAGAAATAATCCCTCACAGAACCTGATGCTCAGCAACAGCAATTAAGCTCATTGTTGTAAACAACAAAAAAAGAAAAAATATCTTGGAAGTTGTAATAAACAACAGGAAAACCCATGAGTCCACCTCCCTGTGAAGACAGATCCTGCAAAGATTTGCTTACTTGAATTTCCACCTAGGAGTCAGCCCTACAGACTTAGTGCTTAAAATCATAGGCATAGCAGGCTCAAGATCCATGTTACTCCATTTCCATTTAATAATCTGCTATTTGCAACGTTCATAAGAGATATTTTCAGTGTGATTTCTAATCCAACAGCAGCTCTTCAAATTGCACAGTTTACAGAAAGGGCAGAATTACGCTGAAAACTGTTACAGAGCAAAAGTCCACTTTTTTTTCTTGGTGGGCCTCCTTTGGCTAAAGAAATGTTTGTAACAGCTGTAAGCTTTTCAAAAGTCTTTGAAAGAAAACAAAAAAAACCCCATAATTTTCACTAGCTGACCTCTTCTAGCCATTTGTTTTCTCCTGTTAGATTTAGGAGATATTTTGTAAAGCTCTGAATCAAACTGTGCAACTGATTTTGTACACCTAGTACCACAAACAAGTGCTCTTAGCAAATGGCAGGGATATTATTCCAAATGCCAAATAAATGATGAAATACTTAAACACGTAACCAAGGAAAGAACAATAGAAAACAACTGCAAAGTGTCTCGTGTTCCTGAAAACACCCTGTAACAATTAAGTTCCTATCAGTCGTATGCCATTAGATCTCCATATGGGGTGTTTGCAACACAAATTTTGGGGCAAGGAAGCTGTCAGCATAAGAGGGTTCTGAGCTGGGAAACGAGGTGTCCCCAGTTCTGAGGAACTTCAGAGGGATTTGAAAAGTGCTCAACACCCCCAAGACCGTGGTGCATTATTTAGTGACCACTAAACATCACGTTATTGGCAAACTGATGCTGAGGTATACTTCATGTCCATATAAAAATGGGCATGGTGCTTTTCAGGAATAAGCAATAATGATGAAGCTGTTCTGGTGCATCATCTGAGCAGTAATCAGGGACTCTTAAATCCTGTGGATAATTCAGCTGTCGTGCACATGGACCAGCCACGCTCAGGGAAAGCAGAGATTTCCAGGAATTGTGGAGTGAGAAAATGAAAGTATGCAGCTGCAGTGGAGCTGCAGATGTCCCGGGCGAGCGACGCCCGGTTTCTTCAGCCTGAGGAAAGAGCCAAAAGTATAAACAGCCCTCAGGGGAATGAATCAGTTCTTCCTCCTCCTCGCAGCGGCCTCCTGTGCACAAGCCACGCAGTGCACAGCAGCTGTGTCCCACACCACTGATGCCCTCCTTCAGAACATGGAGCCCACCTGCATCAGTGTCCTTGGGATGAGGTTAGAGAGGGGCCAAAAGGACACTGGTAGCACTGGCACTGAAGTTTGACAGTTTGTTTTTATTTTAATTTGTTTAAACTGACCATAGAGCTCCTGAGCTTCATTTTACATCAGTTGTTTGGGGTTCCTCTCACCCCCAGGCCACCAGGCTGGGTGTGCTGTCAGCAGGGCAGGAGGAGGTGGCCATTCCTTGTTGAGGTCCCAGTGGGTGGGCTGGAGGTGGGTGTCCTCCATCCAAATCTCACATGAAACATCATCCTCCTGAGGTACCGTGGACTGTGCCTTGGGAAAGCTCTGGAAATAATGGGCTGAGGCTCCTCCTGGCCCTCAGAACCCACACCAAAGCAGAAGGACCTGGCTCTTCCTTACAGCTGCAATCAAAGCAACTCCTTACACCCATGCTATTTCCCAAATGCTGAGCTGTGAAACTAAATGACATGAAATACTTCATTTAGAAGGAGACAAAAAAAAAAAGGAGTTATAGCAGTGAGTGAAAATTTCACACACTGGCAACACCCTGGTCTCTCCATGTCCACCACACAGATCTCTAGTTTAAAAGGAGTAATAATCTCTGACCTATTATTTTGAAGCAGTTAATAAGGGCTCAGATGTGAGAGGCCAGCTATATATCAGTGATGAATACTGGTAGATCTCTTAGCTCCTCCAGCCTTATTTCCTCAGCCTGCACATTATAAAATGGTGATGCAACTTCCAACATATCCCTAATGATAGCCTTGTCATTACTCCAGCACCGCGGGCCACCACATCTATCTCACAATTCATGAGAAAGATAAGCCTATGTCATCAAAGGTGCCAACTCTGGAGGCATTTAATCACACGGATAAGCAGTCCAATTTCAACAGGCCTCCAAAAAATGACCAGTCTGCAGGATCAGGGGACTGCATTTCCTAAGCAGGATGTCAAAACTATATATCTGCCCAAGCACGTAACAGTCCACTGAGTTCCCTCATGCAACTTCTTCCAGCATAACATTTACTATTTGCTCTACCTTGCCAGTCACGTCCATATCACCCCAAAATAATTCTCCTGCAGCACAGCCACCAGAGATCAGTTGGCTGCAGTAGGTTGGGTTTCACACGCTGCAATGGATACTGGAGGACTGTTTACCTAAAAGCACTTCTAAATCAGTTGAAAGTAACACAGCCAAGTATATTTTCTTCCCCATGTATCCATCTGAGTTGCTCTCTGGTTCCATTGGTCCTTACACTTAGGCTTCAGTTCTCCCTGCTGGGTGAGCATCATCCTAAGAAGACAACAAACCCCAGCTCAGCTAACTAAATCTCTTTGGAAAGAGCAGAGGACACCAGAGCTGTCAGCAGGGTTAGGACAAATGTGTACCTCGAATGCCTTTCACACATCTTCATTACTTTACTCATCAGAAAGCATGCAACGTACTGAACCTCCAGAGGTCTTGGCAAGGGGCTGTTGACTTGAGTGGAGTTCCTATGGCAGCACGGCCAAGACTGGTGTTGAGAATAGTGGGATTTTCATGAAAACAGAAAGATCTACCTTTATTTACTTTTTGGTTTGTAAGACCCTAAAAATACTTGAAACTTCAGCGCCTCTATTTGTAGTTTGCCCTTTCATGAAATGGGGTATTCTTCAGCAGGTAGCTATTCTGCACTGGGAGTCTGTTCATTGTCCTTTTGTGAAACCAGAAGCATAACTGAACCCATGCAACTGTATCACATCACACCAGACTTTGTCAATGTCTTGATAGCCAGTTTCCTGCATGTACTTTGTGGGTAATAATCCCATCCTTCCTTTAAATAAAATAAAAGATGCATAAAGAAGCTAATAGTTTTTGTAAAGGCAAAGAAGTTTGAGCATTCTGATCCAGAACATGCTAAACCTTACACTAAAAAAAAATAGTTTCAATCCTCTTATTGGTAGTATATAATTTTAAAGCTAAATTTATTCAGTCTTCAGCTCCAGCAATAGTGGGTAGACCTATGGGCAGGATACATCCTGAGGCATGCTGGTCAGACAGCAGAGGAACTGGGACTATGTGTTTACACCTGCCTTGCCAGACCTGCAGAGGTGATTACTCCTCTTAACAGTTTTATTCTGGCAGGCAGCCCTTGCAACTGAGGGAACAAGACTGTATCAGCCTCACGATGAGCAGCACCCTGCTCTGCGAGCAGGAACCAGCAGTGGAATAGGTCCCCCAAGAACTCTCTTCATTTAACTACTGGATGTCTCTCTCTACCTCCCTGCTCTCTCTCCTGGGCTTCTCTCTAAATCCACATGCTGCTTCCAGTCCCAGAGCAAAAAAAGTAGGAGGAGATGCCAGCAACCAAATAAGGAGATTAGTAAAATAGCAAGAAAAAAAATACAAACAATAATAATTATTATTGTTATTAATAATAATATACAATTAGAGAAACCCATCACCTGAAAAAAAAAATCTGGTTGCCTTCCCCCCCTGCTCCAAATGCACCTTTTTGAAGAGGTAACATACATACAGCTTGTCAAGAATCTGGCTTGCAAATCAAAGTTAATACTACAACGCCCCCTCTTTAAATCATTCACAGATCCATCTGTGTAATGGCTCCTCAAGTGTAATTCCCTATTAAGAGGCTTTATCTGGAGAGATAAGCAGCTGGTTCCCATGTCACTAATTGCTGTCTGCTGTGATTTTAAAACATCTGCACCATTGTGCTCTTCATTTTCATATTCTAATCACCCTGAAACTTGAAAAAGGTACATCATTGATTGTTTCTGTGGGTTAATTAGTACACAGTCTCCTTGTAGAGACAATTTAAAGGCAGTCAGAACCTCAATCAGCAAGTTTGTTTTAAAAATTAATAACATTGGGAGCGTCTGTGGGGATTGGCATCCACAGTGACACATCAGAGTGTGCTCTGGGGACACACCATCCTTTGTTATCTCCTTTGTAGGCTGGAAATAAAATGTAAGAAAGAAAAAGAAGAAGAAAATAGAGGAAAGGCTTACCTAAACGAATAATGTCAATTAGAATCAGACTCTTAGGAAGTGCTTCTTTTTATCTCAGGGCCACCCCTGCCCTTCCAGTGAGAATAAATCTCATGAAAACACCATATAACACCTCTGTGTGGTCTAGGAACTTGTAAGCCACTTTTGGTAGATGTTTTGTCAATCAGGAGCTGGAATCTCACTGGAAATCTGATGGGTGAAGCTGTGACTGCTTGGAAGTATGTGGGGATTTGCGATTTGCTCTGCTTGGCACCTGGGTTGGCTAGATGGTGGGTGACCAGGTGTTAT